TTGGCTGGATGTAGACATCAAATCGCTATCTTGCTTATCGCTCAGATGATGCTCAGTTAAACCCTAGAGCAGTGGTTCTCAACCTGTGGGTCTCAACCCCTTTGCACACCTCTGTCTACAAAAATATTTACATTACAATTCATAACAGCAAAATTACAGTTATGAAGTAGCAACTAAAATTTATGGTTGGGGGGATCACAACAGCATGAGGAAACTGTATTAAAGGGTCACAGCATTAGGAAAGTTGAGAATCACTGCCCTAGAGTTACTTGATTTTTTAAGAGCCACGTGCTGCAAATATTTAATTAAAGCTAAAGAGCAAAGAATGAAGCTCCAAAAAAGCCCATTCCAAAATGGGAACAGAATGAAAAAAGAAGTAAAAAGGAAAAGGAAACAAACGTGACTGCAACTAGGTGTGATGGAAGAGAAAGTTTATTATAGATATATGGGAGAGCATAGCTAGAGGCAGGGACATCTGAGAGAGTCCAGAGCGGACATGACCCTGAGCCATATAGGGAGATGGGGAGAGGAACCAGGTGCAGCAGCCTGGACGCCCAAAGATACAAGAAAGGGCAACCAAAATGTTTGTGTTATATGAGGAAGGACAGCCCGGCCCCCTGGGCTAGAGAGTAGTTCAGGGTAGGAGCAGTGGGGCAGGGGCATGCTAGCTAGGAGGGCCCTGTTAACAGGCAGAGTCTGAGGGATGCTGGGAGAACATGGCAGCCAGAGTCTGCTTTGATATGTTAAATAGGCACCTGGGCCCTTTGTCCTGGGTTTGAAACTTAACAGGAATGTGTTTAGTGAATTAAGCATTATTGTAAAGCATGCTGTATCATATTGGGCCACCTAGAATTATCTTTTGAAATTGACTTACACTTTATATTTTATTTATTTGATTATTATTTCAAGACAGTGTTCTCTGTATAGATCTGGCTGTCCTGGAACTCGCTGTGTAGACCAGGCTGGCCTCAAACTTGGAGATCCACCTGCCTCTGCCTCCTAAGGACTGTGATTAAAGGCATGTGGCTGCACCACCACCGCCACCTGGCTTTATATTTTATTTTAAATATGCAATGATTTGAGCATTATTCCTTTTCGTGTGTGTGTGTGTGTGTGTGTGTGTGTGTGTGTGTGCAGACACCCACACAACTCTCCCATGCAGGCATGTAAGAAGACCAGAGTTTGACATCAGATGTCTTCCTTAGTCGCTTTTCTATTTTATTTATTTATTTGGAGGCAGAAGTGCTTGCCAAACCTGGAGCTCAAGGTTACAGTTCATCAGGCTAGCCAGTCAGGCCCTGAGATCAGCTATCTCTGTCTCCAGTGCTGGGGTTACAGGCATGTACGACCATGCCTGGCTTTTTTGTGGGTGTTGGGTATCTGAATTCAGGCCCACATGTGTGCACAGTAAACACTTTACCCACTGAGCCATCTCCCCAGCCCTGAACATAGCTCTTTTAACAGTAACTAGGCAAAAAAACCAAACAAGCAAACAAAAAAATCCCACTGGGACAAAAAACTAACATGTTTGAAATATCTGCTTAGAGTACCTTTTTTGTTTTTGTTTAGTTTTTTTGTTTGTTTTTTGTTTTATGAGACGGGGTTTCTCTGTGTGTAGTAGCTCTGGCTGTCCTGGAACTCCCTTTGTAGACTAGGCTGGCCTCGAACTCTAGGAGATCCGTCTGCCTCTGCAGGGATTAAAGACCTGTGCCACCACCACCCAGCCAAGCAGCATTTACTTTAAGAACTTCAATTCCTGATAGCAAGCCTAGTTTGGAATGGTCATGTTAATAAGTATGTGTATGTCTGTAAAATTCACTTTGTTTTAGCAGGCAGTGGGACTATGGGACATATTCTAAGAGTGCTAACAGGGCTGGCTAGTCATCTACTTAGAGGTACAGAGGAAGGCCTTTATTTGGTTGCCAGGTAATAAATGCCTGAAATGGGCCATGAACCTCCAACGGAGACTAAAAGTTTAATTTGAGGGATTCTGGGGCAGACTGACTGGAGTGGATGACTGCTCGCCCTGGAACCACCTTATATCATTTTTCTCTGGTGACTGATACTCCAACTATCAATACACCTTATAATTCCACCTTGGGAATGTCTTCGGGTTCACCAGTTCCTGTTGGCTTCAAATGCAAGTCATACTAATTGAGTCATTTATCATCACTTCCAGAGTATTCTAAAGCATCCCCTTGGAGCTGTTTTCAAAGCCATTTTCCCAGCATTCCCCTACCCTATACCATCTCCCTTCCCATGTTTTAAAAGCTGCCTTCCTTAAAAAAATACTTCTTTCAACAACTTCCTTTCGTCCTTCCTTTTTTTCAGATCACTTTCTTACTCAGGAGAGTGCTAGGCTTTAATTGTTATCTCCTTGAAGACAGGCTCAGGCAGCATCAGAGAGGGAGTCAGGAGGGGTTGGAATAAGGTTACTCAACAGGGTGATACACTTTTTGAGCAGAGACCTTGAAGTCTGAAATTTAGGTTGTCTTACCTACTCTGTGGCAGACAGGAACTAAACACAAAGACATATCAAGGACAGGAGAACACAGGCAGGAGTTCTGTGCTGAAGACCTACCAACTGCCCACAGAGTGGCCATTGCTTTTTTTCCTTAAAAAAAAAAAAAAAACCTCTTTCCCTTGAGCATGTTTTTCTAATCAGCTACTCAAGATCTACCTTTCCCATAGTCCCTTTGGCTTTTCTAGTATCTGTTCTAAGTCATATGCTCTACTTCCTTAGAATTCTGACTCTGTTTCCTGGTAAACTTAAAACCTAGTGCTTGGTCATTCTCAGGTTTCTCCCTCCAAAAATGTGAACTCTGGCATGGAGAGTTAGGCCCCCGTGCTCTCATATCTCCTACAGCAGATGTGTGTGGATGAGAAAAGTAGGATGAAATAAGGCACTAAGTCCTAGGTTCTGTTACCAACTGAGTTATTAATGGAACACAGGACCAGGAATGGAGGAGAGGACATCAACTGTGATTTCTGGGTCTTCTGTATTTGGAATTCTGTGATTCTAATTGCAAGAAATTGACTAACAGAATATGATGTGGGAGAGTGAGAAGAACTTGTAAGTTAATTCTGGGGTTGTGAGCCTCGAGAGCCAAGATGCCATTGCCAGAAAAGTAGGAGGGTTGCCAGATTGGTCACAGAGTTATGTTAGTGCTTGTCAGTAGTGAACGCTTGCTGCCACTGGGTCTCTAATGACTGTCCTGTAGGCAGTAATAAGCAACCATCTTCTGGAAGACAGCTGAGGAATAGAAAAGAGATCCAGTTGTCATGGTACAAGTGTAGCAGGCCTGCAGGGTGGGGCTGATCTAGAATGAGGAAATGGCAGGTTCTAGCTTTTGAAATAAAGGCTGGTATCTCTTAGCACAAGAAGAGGGAATATGCAGTGGAGAAGTCAGCAATTTGAAAGTAGTTTGCATTTAAATGGCACAGAGCAGTTGATGAACTTGATGGAGAATTTTAGCTGCAGCAAGTGAGTCAGGAGTGCAAGCCTATCCTGATCCGCCTCCAAGGGAATGTTGAGTGCTGTAACTAGGGGAGTCCAGAAGGCGGGAGGGCCACCCCAATTCCACACATAGGGGCTCCACAGGCTCTGTGCCGCTCATGGTTTATTTACTTCAGGAAGTGTTAAGTTTAGCCATGGAAGATAGTTTGGGGTGAGATTATGAAAGAATCCCATGAAAGAAAAGTAGTCCATACTTTTCTGTTTTCATGAGAGCCTATGAATTAGAATGAGTCATCATTGACTTTTTTTTTTCCAAATCAACAATTATCTTTTAATCTTTCTTTTTTTAAAGAGCCTTACTTTTCCTACACCAAGAAGTAAATTTGTCACCTGGAAGCTTTATGATTCTTTCTCTAAGTCTGAAATTAAATATCACCTTATGGGGTAGAACTGAAATACCATTCTAGTGTAATGTTTCCCTAGGACATTATCCATTTTTATAAATAATAACACCACTTTATTTTATATTCTGATATTCCCATCATTACAGAAAACCCATTCTTTCTACCCTCTTTACTTTGTTAAAAGCCTGATAAACTCCAATCTGCAAAGGCTTTGGGAAGTAACAGAAGTGGTGTGTGCTGTGCTGCTGAGTGGGGACGCAGGGGTGGGAGGGGTGGGGTGAAGGGACACATAGATGCTTCTCTTTTTATTTCAGGCAGAAATGAGACAGACAGCACTTTTTATTTTTGTTCATTGGGTTTAAATATCAGGGAATGAAAGGTACTTAACAAGCTGATGTGTTCCTGTTAATAATATTCAAGTCTATAATTTCCCTGTGACTCTCTTAATAATTTGGAAAGCCTTCTCTTGGAACATAGACTGGGGATCCCTGGAAATGGTGCCGAATATTTGCCAATACAGCTGTTCCTCCAAATGTACAGCTCTGTGATAAAATGTTAGTTACCAAAATAAATAAATAAATAAATAATTTTTAAAAAATCGCCAAAGCAGTTCTCAAGAAATTATACTCTCCTAGTAAGGATTCTGTGAGCGAATTGGCAGCCTTTTTGACTCTTAAGTAAAAGCTAGTCTCTGACAAAATGGAGAGAGGGATGGAGAACTACAGTTGATTCCTGGATATTTAAAATTTTGCATTTATGTTGTTATGTTGTGTCTATGTTGTGACGTTCTGTTGTGTTCTTTTCAAAGTTCCTCCAATTATCCTTTCCCTTTATCCTCTCCTATTAAAAATGGGAAACTACGAATTTTTTTTATGAAAGATGAATTGTATTTTTTTTCTTGCAAATCATGTCAATCAGTTTGCAATCATGATTGCTATACTGCCAAAATCTACTTTTGGTTGTATTAACTATAGAAATGTAAGCAGCTCATTAAAACTTCTTAATGTGATTACATGCTGAAGTCAGCATGTAATAAAACGATTTCTTTTATATTGTGAGATGAAGAAAACACATAGATTTGAGGTTTAATTATTTAGTTCTGTGTCATAGTAACTAAAGTTTACTTTCTTTTTTTATAGAATTTAATTCCTTTTCGACCTTCAATTCAGTTCCAGGGACTCCAAGGGGTGAGTACTATCAATTTAGGAAAAACAATCTAATTGTCGTATTTCCATAAAGCTTTAAAATTTTGCTTTCACTTTTACTGTCAATATAATCAATCACACATTTTGTGAGCTTCATGTCGTGGTAGAAAACAATTCAGGGCCAGTTACAGAGTTTCTTGTATTTGAACCTTTTCATTGAGGATTAAATATCACGATTTTATGGAAATATATTGTATTTACCACAACTAAACAAAGAATTTCATGCAAGTTAGTACTACAGTGTGGGAGCCCACAGAGGTTTCCTAGTGAGATCTGAGCTTGCTTTACCCAGCAGGACTACATAAGAGAATGATTGGACCATGGGCCTGGGTACCACGTGTTTGGTAGGGTCTACACTTGGCTGTATCTAGCAAGGGGGGAGGTCCTTTGCCTCGCCCCTTGGCATTGTTATAAAAAGCCCTTTTGAATAAAGTTCTGGGCTGGTGGAATTGATCCAGGCCCTCCCAAAACTATCCTGTGTTTCTGTCTTTCCTCTCGCCATCTAGGTCTCTTATTCTATCTGATAATTCCTCACTCCTCTCTCCTCCACCTAAGAACCCTTTAATAGGTGGGAGCAGGTTGGAACTGGACTCCCACACTACAGTTGTTCATGTTAATAAAATGTAGCTGTGTGCTTAATCTCTTAATTTTACACGGTAGGGAATTAAATGTATAAGTAGAGAATGAGCTTTGCTAATATAGGCAGTTTTGTATGTCTGTTTTATTCTACACCCAGGGTGTAGCTTGGAGGTGGATGTACCAAAGCCAATAAGCTTAATATATAACTTTTAATTAAGTGGACCTGTGAATTTTGTGTTTTTAATAGGTATAGCATTGGTGTTACTTTTTTTGTTTTAGATTTATTACTTTTATTTTACGTGTATAAATGTTTTACTTGTGTGTAAATATGCGCATCACATGCATGCTTAGTGCACTTGGAGGTGAGAAGAGGGTGGCTGGAGTTATGGATGGTTGTGAGATACCATGTAAGTAAGTGCCTGGAATGGAACCTGGGTTCTCTTCAGAAGCAGCAATCCATCTCTTCAGTCCTAGTATTATTTTTTAATTGTTGCTATTGATATTTAACATTAACAAACTAAATAGATGTTTAGTTTGCTTCCTTGCTTGAATTAATAAGTATTTTTATTCCTATATGCTAGCTATAGCATATAAGTGGACTTTAGGGCTTCTAGAGAAAAGATGAGCTCAAGGAGGAGGGTCATGAGCTTGATCACTGTAAGTCTACTTAATTGTGACATTTTGTAACATCAGGAATATGAAAATGTGCCTGTATGAATAAATGCAGTCTTTCCAAACATTAGAATTTGAAAATCTTTGGAGCCCGATTAATTATATCATTCAGTGGACTAAAAGTCCAGTATTTCTGATTCTTTTGTGTAATGCTAACTTGAAGGAGATGTTTGTGTGGATGTCAGCTTTACAATGAAGTCCTTTTTTTCCTCTTAGTAACTAAGTGTTCATGGATAGGATCCTATTGAAACAAGCATTCTTCTGAATCTGTTGTACAGCCTTCTAGGTGGTGATTACTTACTGCATGCTGATTCTGTACTTGAGGGGTTCAATTGCTGTTTTTAAGGCTTCTGGACTTTTCTGCACATTTTAATGACATCAGTAATATTTGGAGGAAAGCTCCAACGGCAGACCTGAGTCCTAGAGTCCTGGAAAGCTCTGGGCTCTCAGGAAACGGGGGGAGCAACACATCAGGCAAGAAACTAAGGTCTGAGCTGTGCTTCTCAGAGCTGGCAGGGCCACTGCTGTTCTGGAACTGCCACATCTCCTAATTTTCTCTTTAACTTGGTTAAGATCTCAGGCTAAGAAACTGCAAATAAAGGACATTTTTTTAGGAGGCACCAAGTTAGACTCAATGGCCAAATGATAGGGAATAAATACTTGGGGTTACCAAACTCTGATTCTGATTCTGACATGCAGTCTCCACAGAGGCATGGGTTTCTGCAGTCTACTCCTTACTCTCCTAGGTCCTGGGTACAACAAAGCAACTCACAGTTGAGACATTGTGCTTTCTTTTCTGAATACCTTACCTCTCTGCACAGCTATCCTTGAGCCCATGTGTCCAGCCCTCTCCCCAATACTTACCTTTGCTTTGTGCCTGTATCTCTTGCCCGAATATAGTTTGCCACCAAAGGTAATTTAGTTATAAAATGACAGATTAACAGGTAAGCTTTGAGCCCAAATAAATTGGAATTCTTTGTGTAGTAAAGGAGGCTTAGATACACTATAGACTGGAAGAGTGGAATGCTTGGCTCTACCTTGCTTGCTGTCTGTCTATCTCATCAATGCCCTGGCCCTTTTATTATTCTCCTGGGAACAAAATTATGGACTCAGCATTGTTTTAGAGCCTGCAGCTGCATTCCATCTGCCCTTCCCCCTTCCCTTTGCAGAGCTCTCCCTAGCCCGTTGGGACTTAGTAAAAACAAAGACTCATTACAGGGGAGAGAGTGGGTTGGCACAGCCTACAGGGAATATGCAGAGCCATAACTGTGAGGGTCTTCTATACAGTGCTCCTCTGTTTTTCTTTAGAGCCATGATAAGTTAACATTGCCTGTGCTGATTGCTTTTAAAACCCTTCAGAAGTATGCTTACAGAGTTTTCCTGTTTGGAAAATGTTTAGCGTTTTAAATTGGAAGGTTTAAATTTAGAATTCCCCCAAAAGATACTGTTCCTTAGTGAGAGATATTGTCTTTTTATATCAAATGTAATTGGAAATGTACCTTAACTCCATGATAGTGCCATATGTAAGCAAATTTGAAGTGTAACTGAAGCATTGTTAAGTATCCTTTTAAAAGTGAACATATTGTGTTACAGATATTTCCTGTTTGCCTGATGAGATTCATGCTAAGTTTGCATGGTTATGCTATTCCTCATTGCTAATTATAGGATTTTCCCCCACTTGGGTAATGTCTATAGGTCAGAATTTAGGGCTTGGCAGATTAGCTTTTAAGCCTATTTGCTTTTCCGTTTGAACATGTTCTGTTAGGTTGATGTTAACTTCTACATAAATACAGACTGAAACATGAAAGTATGGCAATATACTGTAAGAGTGGAATTCTGAGAGTCATTGATTATTTCAGTTTCACCTCTATAGCTGGGCAGGAGTTTTCTTAGCAGAAAATGAAAACTATGTCTTTCAGAGTCATCTCAGCCTTTTCCCATAGTGTGAAAGGGCACATAGGAAACTGGATGCTCACTGAAGGTGTTTTCTGTAGGGAAGCAGTTGGTTCTGATTGCTGACCTCATGAATGCTAGGAACTGAGTATGTCAACTAAAAATATCCTCATTTATTCTCGAGTGTGGGTCAGCCAGTTATCTTCTAACTTCAGGGTTACTTGAGATCTTTAAGTTAGAATATTCAGAGGAAAATGACACCACAGTATACCAGTTTCCAAAAGCTGCATCTTCAAAGTCAAGCAAACTTTATGAAGAATAAATAGCACCGTTCTTTCTTCCTGTTAAACAGTGAAAGTGAGGCAGGTGACTTTCCAAGGATGTCAAGTGAAGTTTGAAAAACCAACCTGTATAGGTTTGTGGGGACTAGGTGTTTCTAGCACACAGTTGGTAGAGGCCAACTATACTGCGGGGGGGGGGGGGGGGGGGGGGGGGGGGGGGGGGGACACGGGACAGGACATGACACGGAGGGACGACACTCTTCCCACTGTTTTGGAGAGTTCCAAAAGAGTGTATCTGGGAAGTTCACTCAGGGTTTAATGAAGTCAGCTGTTGATAAAATTGACAACTAACAGTTATTTCACAAACTAGGACCTAGTTGACATAGTTAATACGATAAGTTATTAATTACTCTGCTTGCTTCTTGGTTTTATGGTATTTTTTTAGTTTTGTTGGTTTGTTTGTTTGAGTTTGGCTTTCTCAGATGTGGCCTGTCTGTGTTGCTCAGGCTAGCCTGGAACTTTCAGTGTGGGCCAGACTGACCTTAAACTTGAAAGAGTCAAAGCTCCGACCTCTCCCTGCCAGTGCTGGAATTATAGGCATTCAGTTACCTGCTCAGCTGACACTTTTATTTTGTGAGCTCTCCCCATATTTCCTAGGCTCGCATGGACCTTGAGATCCTTTGTTTTGGCTTCCCAAACACTAAGATTACAGGCATGTGCTAGCATGCCCAAGCTTTGCATTACTATGAAAGAACTAGACAAGACATGGTCTTCACTCTTACAGAATTTCTAGCTGACAAATACATGGCAGACTAACATTTAGGAAAGAATTAATAATAAATAAAGAATTTAGCTAGAACCCTCACACAGCACTTCTATAGAACTATTCTGTAGGGACTATCAATAACAAGGCTTTGTGTGTATTTCTGACTGCTGTGAATCAACATTTTAATCAAAAGTTTTTGTGACTTCAAAAATGTTATATATTAGCTATGCATGATGCTGTATGCCTGTAATGCCAGCATTTGGGATGCTGAGGCAGGAAAATTTAGAGTTCAGGGTCAGCATGGTATTGTATTTAAAAAGAAAAAGGAGCCAGGCGGCGGTGGTGCATGCCTTTAATCCCACCACTCAGGAGGCAGAGCTAGGCAGCCTCGAAATCTCTGTGAGTTCGAGGCCAGCCTGGTCTACAGTGCGAGATCCAGGAAAGACACTAAAACTACACAGAGAGACCCTGTCTCAAAAAACCAAAAAAAGAAAAAGGAAAGTTCTACTTTGGCAATAAATGTATAAAATTCTAAATGCCTAATTAAGAACTGTGTATACACACAACATTTTACACACACAAATAGATGTGAGAAATGTGATAATTGGGGTAAAATCTGAAATAGCAAGATTTTCAATAGCAAATAATGGCCACATTTGCTGGCAAGTGGTGCCCTTGCAATTGATTTGCTTGTGGCCCCAAGGACTAATGCCCAGAGAGTGATTGCCCCAAGAAAATGAGAAATAATGTTAACATTGTCACCGTAAAAGATTGTGGAACCCATATTAACT